ATATATATATATATATATATATATATATATTAAGATGTGATGACAGAGTCAAGAATAGTGCAATACTGAAGAAATGTAACAAGATGACAGGCATTGAAACCATTCTAGCAAAGATACAACTTAAGTGAGCTGGTCATATTGTGAGAATGGATGAGCATAGGCTTCCAAAGAAGGTGTTGTATGGAAAACTACCAAACTCCAAGTTGGGCGTCCACTCTTACGCTACAAAGACAAATTAAAAGACAACTTGAAACATCTCAACTTTGATCTGAAAACCCGGGAAGCCCAAGTATCAAATCGAAAGGCGTGGCGTAAGACATGTTTCATTAAGTTCTAAAGCAGAGACGCCATCAAAATCCTATTTCAACAAATTTCCTCTGTCAGTGTGGCTTTGTTGCCTGCAGCAAGGCTGAACTTGTATCACACTTAAGAACGCACAAATGAAATTTACCTTACTTGATTTTCCCCACATTAGCCCCATATATATATATTTTTTTATATAGTTATCTCATATAGATACCTTTAGGTATGTTTTGAAAATGTATGTCATTGCACACATAAATTGATTTTTTAAAGAACATGCGATGAATGCATATGCCGAGTGAGTATTGAAAAGCTTCAGCTTTAACCAACATATCAGATCCGTATCTAATAACCAAACATCAGATTACTGATTTCGATAAGTGGATCGGGTTAAATAATTCACCCTTGTAATGAAGTATATGTAAACAAATATGCTAGTGGTTATTTACGCATAATTGTAAGGATTAAAGAAGAAGAATCATATTCGGTTAAGTATCTTCTACACAAACATATAAGCGCTCATTGCATATACAGAGTCTATTCAAAAAATATATAGACACCTCTGGAAAAAAATATATAGACACCTCTGGAAAAAAATATATAGACACCTCTGGAAAAAAATATTGTATAGATATTGTAATACTAATTTTATTCAGACATCACGCGATTAATACAAGTTACCTTTGGACTCTACAATCACAAGAGATGATCAAAATGGTGACCTTTAGCTTCCAGACATTTATTAGTATGGCGAACTACTGCTTGGATAATGTCGGCCAAAATTTCCAGATTTATAGATTTTTTAGCGGACTCTGTATATGCATAAACTTTATGGTTATATTAATACATTTTAAATATAAACAACTGCACTGTTTTTCGTTCATCTGTGTGTATATTTGTGCATGTACATAGTATAAATATGTTCCTAAGCATGCTAATATT